TGTGTGTATGTACGTATGTATCTGTGTATGTGTGTTTTTATCTGTGTTTCTTTTACTCTTCTTTCATTTGCGGGGTGAGGGTATCACTGGCTGCGGCAGCATTTATCACCCATCCTTAATTGCCCAGAAGGCTGTTAAGAGTCAACCACATTGCTATGGGTCTGGAGTCACATGTATGCCAGACCAGGTAAGGATGGCAGATTTCCTTCCCTAAAGGACATTAGTGAACCAGATGGGTTTATCCGACAGTCAACAATGGATTCATGGTCATCCTTAGATTCTTAATCTTCTTAATTCCAGTGAATTCAAATTCCACCATCTGCCATGGTGGGATTCGAACCTCGGTCCCCAGAACATTATCTTGGTCTCTGAATTAACAGCGCAGTGAGAATGCCACTAGATCTTGTATGTGTGAGTGTCTGTGTGTGTGTGTGTCTGTGCGTGCAGTTGGGTAGGTTGGAGGGGGTAATTTCCGTGGCAACAGGTCTACCAAGTCACGAGACAACTCAACACAAGCCTTTTGCATCCATGGTGAAAATCTGGCCCTTAGTTTCAGGGAACATAACTTGGCAATTGGTGAATAAATTCCTCTAAGAGTGGTCATTTTACATGAATTACCATTATAAAACTTGCTTTTATTTTATCCCATTTAAATTGCATAAAAATATTCCCCTGTTAAGGATCTCCCTGAGAATATTCAATGGTCAACTGAATTGTGCCATTGTGTTTTCTCCTCTAATTATGGTCTACATCTTCTTGAATACGAATATGTCCTCTACAACAGGTCTTGTCATCACATGGGCTGCTACTACTATCATCCCATTGTCAGCAAGTAATGGTCCCAATTACCAGCTATTGATTCCCCAGGCTGACCTTTACATATTCTATCTGTCCAACTGTTGTTCTCTCTCTCTGTCTCTGGGCTTCATCTCCATTTTTCGTTTACTCCTCCCCACCCCATCTTCGGTACACACCAACATTTTCCTAACTACATTCAATTGGACCACAACGCAAGGGGCCAGTCCAGCCACAATCAGTTGTGAGGAAGGGTCACCGGACCCAAAATGTTAACTCTGTTTTTTCCTTCACAGATGCTGCCAGACCTGCTGAGCTTTTCTGGCAAATTTGTTTTCGTTTTTTTTCCCTAACTACAATCAGTTTTGAAGAAGTGTCACTGGACCCGAAATATTAGCTTTCTTTCTCTGTCCACAGATGCTGCCAGACCTGCTGAGTTTCTCCAACAATTTCTGTTTTTGTTTTGTTTCAGACCTCCAGCATCTGCACTTCTTTCTTCTGCTCCAATGTTAGGCTTAATTTTAACACAGTAGGTAATACATTGTAAAGTTTAAAAATAATAAACGATTGTGTTGGCTCATTACACAAGTCTGATAAGATTTGCTGTAAAGATTATTGACTGTTTCCCTTCTGCTCATAACAGTCAAATGTTGACACTTGCGAGCAAATACACAAGTGTAGTCTAAAGAGAGACAGTCAGGTGATGTTGTAATCTCCTCTGACAATCCACAAAGAACAATCCTCCTGCCATACCCTGGAAAGACTTTGCTGAAAAACTCCTTTTTGGCCCCTTGCATTGTGGTCCAACTGCATGAGATGAGATACCAAACCCCTGTTTGATCCAGTCAACATTTCTTTCTATGTACTTCAAACTTCCAAAAGAAAACACTTCCCACAACTATACCCATAAAGGGCACTGTATCGTATTTTTTCAAAAGCTGCAATGAGCCTAACATTTGTAGGTCTTTCTTCCTATCTCTCGCTGGTTTTCTGCTGAAAATCTGTGGAAATCCGAGGCAGTACACTGTGCAGTAAAGATGCAACTAGGCTATAGTAAATTAGTGGTTGGCATCCGTTGGAATATTGAGCTCAATCCTGGGCTCCACGATCCAAGAAGGATGTTATGATCGAAGGAAATTTGCTAGAATTGCAGCAGAGATGAGAGGTTTCAGCCATGTATATAGACTGAGGAAACTGGGATTGTTCTTCTTGGAGCAGAGATGGTTGAGGGGAGATGGAAATGTACACATTTATGAAGGATTTCAATAGAGAAGATAATGAAAGCCTTCTCCCTCAATGGAAGGGTTGGTAACCAAAGGACATAGGTTTGGCAGCTTTTGTTGAGGCAGAACCCATGTTATTGTTTCAGGTCAATGATCATTCATCAGAATGCAGGTGTGTTATTGACCTGAAACATTTGACTTTCTAATGATTCTGCCAAACATGCTGAGGGTTTCCTGGTCCCAGATTTAAGTTAATTTACAAAAACATTGAGGTTATGTGTTTATGTGGCTGTGTGTGCATGTGTTTGTGTATGTTTGTGTGCATGTTTGTCTGTGTTGAGTGCATCTATCTGAATGTGTGTATGCGTGTGTCTCTTTGTGTGTACCTGCATGTTCTGTCTGCCTGCGCGTCTGCACATTTGTGTGTATGTGTCCATTGTGTGCGTGTGTGTGTGTGTGTGTGCGTGCGCATGTATGTGTGTGAGTGTGTCTGTGTGTGTGTGTGTGTGTGTATACGTGTGTGCATGTGTGTGTATATGTGTCTGTGTGTGTATGTGTGAATGTGTGCGTGTGTGTGTGTGAGTGTATGTGTGTGCATGTGTGTGTGTGAGAGAGTGTGTGTGTGTGCCTGTGAGTGTGCATGCGAGTGTGCTTGTGTGTGCGTGTGCGTGTGTGTATGCGTGTGTGTGCATGTGTATGTGTGTATGTCTGTGTGCTTGTGTGTGCGTGTGCGTGAGAGTGTGTGCGTGTGTGTGTGAGTGTGTGTGTTTGTGTATGTGTGTGTGTGCGCGTGAGTGTGTGTGTGTGTGAGAGTGTGTGTGTGTGTGTGCATGCGTATGTGTGTGTGTCTGTGTGCATGTGTGTGTGTGTATGCGTGTGTGTGTGTGTGCATATGTGTGTGTGTATATGCATGTGTGTGCGTGTGTGTGTGTATGTGTGCGTGTGTGTGTGTGCATGTGTATGTGTGTGTGTGTCTGTGTGCATGTGTGTGTGTGTGCATATGTGTGTGTGTGCATGTGTGTGTGCGTGTGTGTGTATGTGTGTGTGCGTGTATGTGTGTGTGTGCGCGTGTGTGTGTGTGTGCGCGTGTGTGTGTGTGT